ACAAAAGACTATGGATGTGGCTCAGTGCTTAAGTGTTCCTGGGTTCAATCCCCAATACAAAAATAAGTTAAAAAATTTTTTAAATAATAAAAAAATAAGGGCTCAGGGTGTGATTCAGTGGTATAGTCTCTGGATTCAATTCCTAGAACCAGAAAATAAGTAAACAAGCAAATAAACTTGAACATGAATGTTCATATCAGTATTATAATAGACAAAAAAAGAAAACAGCCAAATGCCCATCCATTGATGAATTAATAACAAAAATGGTGTATCCAAGGCTGGAGCTGGAGCTCAGCAGCAGAGTGCTTGCCTAGCATGCTTTAGGCACTGGGTTCGATCCTCAACACTACATAAAAAAATAAATAAATAAATAAATTAAATAAAGACATTCTGTCCATCTACAACTACAAAAAAATAAAAATAAAAAAATTTAAAAAATGGCAAATCCATACAATGGAATACTATTTGACAAAAAAAAAAATCAAGAATTGCACATACTAAAACATACATAAGCATTAAAAACATGCTAAATAAAAGAAGTGAGAAATAAACCTGGCACACAGGCACCAGTCTGTAATCCCAGCAGCTGGGGGAGTGGTTCTCAGGCAGGAAGATGGTGAGTTCAAAGCCAGCCTCAGCAATTTAGTGAGGCCCTAAGCAAATCAGCAAGACCCTGTCTCTAAATAAAATATTAAAAAGGGCTGGGGCTGTGGATCAGTGGTTAAGTGCTCCTGGGTTCAATCCCCAGGAGCACTTAACCACTGGGGGGAAAAAAAAAAAAAAAACATGAGACATGAAAGACCAAATATTGGAATGATTCTACTTACATGACCTGTCCCAAGTAGGCAACTTGCAGGAGGTATGTTAGTGGTTGCTAGATGGGGAGTGAAAAGATAGAACAGTGGAAGGAGACTGCTGTTGGGTATGGGGTTTCTTTCTCAGGTGATGAAAATGTTCTAAAATTATGGTGATTAATGGCTGCACAATTCTGTGAATATACTAAATACGACTGAAATGGACTTTTTGGGGGTACTGGAGATTGAACCCCAGGGGCATTTAACCCCTGAGCCACATCCTCAGCCTTTTTTTTGTATTTTGAGACAGGGTCTCCATGAGTTGCTTAGGACCTCAGTAAGTTGCTGAGGCTGGCTTTGAACACCCAATCCTCCTGCCTCAGCCTCTTGAGCCACTAGGATTACAGGTGTCTGCCACCATGCCCAGGTTGAACCGTATACTTTAAATGGCTTATGAACTATATCTTAATAAAGCTGTTAAAAAAAAAAAAAAGCAATTTGCATTAGATGCAAAGTGCTAAGGAAGGAGTAAAGAATCTTGTTCAGTCATTTTAAAGGACCTAAACTAGGGCAATGAAAACCCGGAGAGATTCTATTACTTAACATTCTAGGTACTAGGTCATACTGAAATATTCATGAAGAATTCCATGTTTTAATACATAAAAAGTACCTTAAGTTTAAAAAGACACACCATCGCCCAAAAAGAGTTTTCATAATTCAGAGATAGACTAACAGGAAAGTCATCAAATGAAAACCAATTTTAAAAGGATGTATTACATGGATTTGTACCCTGAATATGAAAGTAGCACTTAAATTTATTATTGTCCTACCCGTGAAAAAGAAGTCAAAAGTAAAAGAGTCCAATTAATATGTTTCTATAGTACTAGTTTGTGACAAATTAAAATATCAAGAAATGAATGGGGCTGGGTTATGGCTCAGTGGTAGAGTGCTCGCCTAGCACATGTTGAGGCCCTGGGTTTGATCCTCAGCACCACATATAAATAAATAAAATAAAGATATTGTGTCCACCTAAAACTAAAAATAAACATCTAAAAAAAAGGAAAGAAATAAATATCCTGCATCATAAAAAACTGAATCTTCCACATTCCCCCCTTATATAACTAATAATTTATTATTTTGAACATTCCATCTCATAGACATTACAGTGACTTTCCTAATGGTTGGAGTGGATCCCAGAAGTGACAGGTGTGTCACACATAAAACTTGTATCACAAAAAATCAAAGTGTACGGGGAGGGGGTCAGGGTGGAGGGAGCGCTATGACTGTGGCTCAGCAGTAGAACGCTCGCCTAGCACATGCAGGGCGCTGGATTCGATCCTCAGCACCACATAAAAATAAAATAAAGGTATTGTGTCCAACTACAATTAAAACAAAATTTTTTTAAAAAAAATTCAAGTATTTAAAAAATGCTATTATTGACCCTGAATCTAATCCTAAACTGTACATAAATAAACATAAATGCTCATTAACATAATCTGCAAGCAAAGTAACAATCATATAAGATTTACTACTGTGTGCAGTAATATTTCACTGACATATTAAAATTCATCAGGCTTCAGAGTATCATCCACAAGTAATCAAAAATAGAGGGCTGGGGCTACGGCTCAGTGGTAGCACACTTGCCTCGCATGTGTGAGGCACTGGTTTTGATTCTCAGCACCATGTAAAATAAATAAAGGACTATCAACAACTAAAAAAAAGAAAATTTAAAAATTTAAAAAAAAAAAAAATACAGAGATAAAGACCATGTGCGGCATGCCTGTATTCCCAGTGGTGCCAGAGGCTGAGGCAGAAGGATCCTGAGTTCAAAGTCAGACTCAGCAAAAGTGAGATACTAAGCAACTCTGTAAGACCCTGTCTCAAAATACAAAATAGGGAGCCTGGGGTTGTGGCTCAGAGGTAGAGTGTTTGCCTAACATGCATGAGGCACTGAGTTTGATCCTCAGCAACACACAAAAATAAATAAAGGTATTGTGTCCACCTACAACTAAAAAACAAATGTTTTTTAAAAAATTACAAAATAGGGCTGGGGATGTGGCCCTGAGTTCAATTCCCAGTACCAAAAAAAGAAAAATACAGAAAAGGCACACTCTAGAATTTTTTAAAAGGTATGTACTTAATTTTCACACCAAATCTTTGTTTGATCCTCAGTATACAAGCCTATCACCTACCACAAGGCACTCTACTTTCAGGCCACAATACAACACAATTCTCAGTTTTATTTCACTTTTTTTTCTATTTAAGCAAGCTCTCAGGGACTGGGGCTGTGCTCAGTGGTAGGGTGCTTGCCTGGCATGTGTGAGGCCCTGGGTTCGATCCTTATCACCACCTATAACAAATCCACTGGCAACTAAAAAATAAAAATAAAATTAAAAAAAAGCAAGCTCTCAGGTCAATGTTTAATATTAGGCTTCCTAGTCAACATGACTTTGAAACACCTTCTAGCCCCCACCAAAAAAAAAAAAAAAAAATTCTTACATCAACCTTCTGAAATGATAGAATCAAGTCTGAAATAGTTTACCCATTTCTTCAGCTTTACAGGGAATGTAGAAAAAGAATTAATACTAAACAGGTTTTTTTCACAACTCAACAAGACAGTAGGAAACAAGTACTTATATTTAATCATGTTTCTGTCTATCCTAGCAGGTCTAATTGTCAGGAGAGTTCTGCCAGATAAGGACAATGAGATGCGTTATTACATGGAGTGACTAAGAGACCTATAAGTACTGCTTTAGAATGTGATCCCAGGAAGGAAAGCTGTGGTAAAAGGGCCTAATATTTTTGTGGCAACTGTTCTCAAAAGTAAATGTATTTGCCATCCAGTACGACTTTATAAGTTCGCACTATTTATTGTCCATTCTTTTACAAATGTTTTATAGGAAAAATAAAATGCTTTATAGGAAGGAAAAGCCACTGTACTTTGTTACTCCGAGGGAGATGAACAACTTGCAATTTGCTTCTCACTCTGAATCCCACGTTTGCAACATGTAGAACAAGCACTTCAGACACCACAAAACAAGGGCAGCCTACATTAAAGCCAAATATAGGATGTGATTCTAAACCACGATGCAGTAAAGCCTACATTTCCTTTTCCAGCGATCAAAACCCTTTGAACACTCCCAAAAAAGGACGGCAGGGCCAGCACCACCCTCCAAGAGGAAGCCCCTTTCTTCTCGGCTCTCCCCGCAGCCTGCCACTTCCCCCCCTCCCCCAGTACACTGAGAGACCAAGAGCTGGTGTGCGTGCGCCGGGGGACAGGCGGGAGAGCTCGGTTCCTGCATTTCCACCCTCAACATCTGATCTCATCCTCAGTCATTTCGGCGCAGCGGAGCCCCACCTGCACCTCGCTCCTTTTCCCTGGGTCCCCCGCCAGCTGCCCCGCTATTAGAGAGCACACCTCTGAATCACAAGTGCGCCCAGACCCCAGACCCTGTAGCGTTTCTGCTAGCTCCCTCCTCTTCCCATCCCTCCCAGTCCCAGCCCTCCGCTCCCGAGACCCGGTGCAATGCCTTCCTAAGCCACCCCCACCGTCAGTACTCCATTACCCGGCCCCGCCCTGCCGGGACCCCAACCCAGACCTTCAGGGCCCCGAAGGGGCTCGCACCCAACGCCAGGCAACCCCCAGGCCAGGGAGCCACCGTCGCCGCTCCCACGCAGGGCCCGACTCGCCCCAGCCCGGAGGGAGCTGGCCCCAGCCCACCCCCACCCACTGGCTCCCAGGGGTGGCTCAGGCCCCGCCCCCAGGCCTGGCGCCCCTGGGCTCAGCGCCCTTCCCACCCCGCATCTCGCTCCACCGGGCGCCGGCCCCCGACCCGGGAAACATCCCTCGGACAGCAGTGTCCGGTCGGCCCGCGGTTCCTCACCCTGCCCCGGGCTTCCAACCCCTAAAGCCCTCCCCTGGGCAGCCTCCTGCCCACCGGGGCCGCGTCTCACGCTCCTCAGGCCAACTGGGCCGTCCCCAAGCCCCCTCCGCGGATCCCAAGGCCCCCGCGGCAGCCCCTGGCCCTGACCCCGTGCACACCGCCCGAGGACCCGCGCCCCGCGCGCCACCCAGCCCTCTCCCCTCCACCGGGCCCTGCCCCTCGCCCCGCCGGCTCCTGTCAGCCGGCGCCGGCACATGCTGAGAGGACAGGTCCGCCCGCCCCGCTCGCTCCCGAGCGGTCCTGCCGGGCACGCGCCGCTCACCAGGGCCGAGGAGCCTGAGGCGCCGCCGCCGCCGCCGCCGCCGAAGTCCCCGCTGCAAAGCCTGGCGAAGCCTCCAACCGCTGCCGCCTCCCGCCTGGCACTGAGCGCCGCGCGGGGGAGGGGCGAGGGCAGCCGCCACCGCCCCTGCCGCCACGCGCAGGCCCCGCCCCCGCGCCGCGCCTTGCCCAACCAGGGCCGCAGAGCTGCGCCGCACCACGCCCACTTCCGGGAGGGGAAGCCCGCTTCCCACCCTGCGTTCCACGCCTCGTCCTCCCCAGCGCCCCCTCTGGTAGCGCCGATGGATGCGGTGGGCCGCAGAAGGCGGTGCCCAGACGCACCCCTCCCTTGAGTGATGGGGGCCACGCCCACAGGCACCCCCCGAGCCACGCCCAGTGCTCCTCAGAACCTGGAGCGGGGTTCCTAGGATCCGCCCACTGACCTGCTTGGCTCGGCCGGGCTGTGGCGGCCGGTCCTCAACGATTTCCCCAGAGACCCTCAAAACTGGAACTCTGAGCCCCACCCACGCCCATCAAGCCCCACAGCCGGCCTCCGGGCTCCGGCAGCACGGTCCCCTCCCGCGGCTACCGAGTGGCCCGTCGGCGATTTAAACCCCCGCCCCGACTTCCAGGAGCCCGCCCAGGGTCGCGTCATCCCTCTGCCGCATCCTCGGCCCCACCCACGGCCGACCCGAGGCTTCTGCTGCAATCCCTGCCCCAAATTCCCGAGTCCCCGCCTCTGGCCCCGAAGCCCCGCCCCGCACCCTCCACGCCCTCCTCCGCCTCCGCGAGGACTCGGCCGGCTGCGGCCCTTGGCCTGCTGTGCTTGTCCCATGCCTAGTCCTAGGTGGCCCTCCTGGCTGGCCACACCCGCTTAGCCCCCGCACTGTCACGAGGAGAGCCAGTGATTCACCCCGTTTCGCAGGTGACGAGCAGGAAACTCCGGCATCCCTCCTTTCCCTGGCGAAAGTGTCTGAAGAACTGCGCAGCCCCAGTTGCTGCCCAGTTACTAGGAGATGGGATTCCAGTCCCATCTCTGGCCTGAGTGGCAACTCTGTCACCTGTTTGGGCCGAAATTTCCTAATCTTTAGCATAAAGTTGTCCAACCAAAAGCCAGAGTTCTTTTCTGAACTACCAAGTGTGGGGAAACTGGACCTGGGGAGCTGATAAAGCAGGCCTGCTGAGGGGGAGGGCTATTTGCTTCCCAGAGAAAGGAATCTTAGCAATTCCTGAAGTTTGGGAGGTGGGGCAGGGGCTGCTTTTCAGCTTTAAGCATCAGCCTCAGAAATTTGGAGAAGTAGCTCAGTGGTGGAGCTTGTGTGCTTGGTTGGGCCTTGGTTAGATTACTAGTGGAAGGAAAAAGGGAGGGTGGGAGGGAAGGAAAGAGGGATGCAAAAAGAGAAAGCAAAGTGTTCTGTAAATCAAGGTGCACCTGATCCAAAACAGCTTTCACAGCGAACTGCTTATACTCTCTGAGGCTCAGTTTCTTAGTCTGTGAAATGGGAATAATGACAGCCCTGCTCTGTGTTCTATGAGCTCATGTTAGTAATGCACCTAGAGCCTGGCTTGTGATAAACAGATGGTACCTGCTGCACTCCACTGCTGTGACTCACCAGGAGGGAAAGATGAGTGTTATTTTGCCTTGGAGCAGTCACTGCTAACAGGAGGGACAGCGCAATTTTTCTACAGCAAGACTTGCTACTCACTTCATTTAAATGACATAAAGGTGGTAAAGTGTTTGGTGCACTCACTGGCACGGGAATACTTTAAAAAAAAAATGCTGTTATGGGGGCTGAGGTTGTGGCTCAGTGGTAGAGCACTTGCCTAGCATGTGTGGGTTTGATCCTCAGCACCACATGAAAATAAATAAAATAAATGTATTGTGTTCATCTACAGCTAAAAAATATTTTTTTAAAAATGCTGTTATTGGGCTAGGGTTGTGGCCCAGCAGTAGAGCACTCGCCTCGCACGTTAGAGACCCTGGGTTTGATCCTCAGCACCACATAAAATAAATAAATAAATAAGTGAAATAAAGATGTTGTGTCCAACCACAACTAAAAAATTTTTTTAAAAAATGTTGTTATTATGACTCTTATTTTTTTTTCTTGGTACAGAGGATTGAACCCAGGGGTGCTCTACCTCTGAGCTACATCTCCAGCCCCTTTTATTTTTGAGAGAGGGCCTCACTAAGTTGCCCAGGCTGGCCTTGAACCCATGATCCTCTTGCCTCAGCTGTCCAGGTTGCTGAGATTGCAAGTATTCATCACAGCACCCAGTTTATAATTCCTTTTTTTTGGGGGGGTACCCAGGATTGAACTCAGGGAACACTTAATCACTGAGTCACATCGTCAGCCCTTTTTCTTTTTTCTTTTTTTTTATTTTGAGACAATGTCTTGCCAAGTTGCTGAGTCTGGTTTTGAACTTGGATTCCTCCTGTCTCAGCCTCCCAAGCCACTGAGATTACAGGCGTGTGCCACCACGCCCAGCACAATTCCTATGTTTCAGGGCATTGATCCACAGCAGTGGATTCTGAGTAGCTGAGGAAAATGAGAATTGATAAAGGGTTTTAAGATAGAACTGTGAACCATGGCTTTGGGAAACAGATATATCTAATATTTATCCATCACTGAAATGTGCCAGGCACTATCTGAGCACCTTACACCCGGAGCCATCTGAAATCCCCTCAACAACCCAGTGACCATGGAAAGAATTTTTTTTCTTTCTTTTTTTTAATGTGGTGCTCAGGATCGAACCCGGGGCCTTGCACGTGCTAGGCGAGTACTCTACCACTGAGCCACAATCCCAGCCCCAAGAATTTTTTTTCATAGAAAGAATTCTTAATCCCCAGCTATAAAGATGAAGAAACAGAGGCTCAGAGAAGTTACATTACCTGAGATCACGTGGCTTGACCCAGGTAGAATCACACCCTGTATTTGCAGAGGCTGCCCTCTTCGCCAGTTAGTCATTACACACACGACTAACTGCCTCTGGGGCAGCTTGACAGAAAAAGAAAAACCGTGGACTTTGGATTTTGACAGACTTGGGTTTAAATTCATGCTCAACTTAGTCATCAGAGGATATAGGGTGAGTCACTTTCCCTCTCTGAGCTCTTCTCTCTCATTTGCACAGCGAGGATCATGTCAAGGATTACTTCAGGAAGTGGTTCTGAAGATCCAGGCGTTCTCAGTGGGGGGGTTGTTTGGTTTGGATTTTGTGGATAGAACCCAGAGCCTCATGCACACTGGGCAAATGCTCTATCGCTGAGTTACACCTGCAGTCTGCGAATCTGTTTTTTTTTTTTTTTTTTTTTTTTTTTCCGTACCAGGGATTGAACTCAGGGACACTCAACCACTGAGCCACATCCCCAGCCCTCAAAGCTGAGGCTGGCTTTGAACTCGTGAATCTCCTGCCTCGGGCTCCTGACCCACTGGGATTACAGGTGTGTGCCACCATGCCCGCCTTCCCAGAAGCTTTTAATCAATAAATTAAGGCCAGACAAAACACCCAGCACATACCAGTTGTTTAAAACATATTGATTCCTTTCTCTCAGTTCTTTAGATGATAAAATTAGAAGATTTCCAATGACAGCGATCCCCCCTCCACAACGCCACCAGTGAAATGTGCTGAGACAGAAGGATCCCAAGGACTTTGCCTTCCAGCTGCCAGTTTCAGTTCCTCATACTATCCCTGGGTTTCAAGGAGATGATTCTTGCACAGGAAACACCCAAAGCCAAAGCAATGCCACCTCACCACCTCCCTCCACACCTGCCCCAAATGTGGCCAGCCGAGAGCTGCTGGTCTCAGCAATAGTAGGAACATTATAGAATCTTTTGCTAGGAGAAAAGCCCATTCCTTTGCTCTTCCTGAGTCTATAATAACCCCTCTGTGGGCCCCCCCTCCTCAAAAAAAAAAAAACTTGGCCTCTGTCCAAGCTGACCCTAAATGAAGAGAATCAAGTTCAAGTAAGATGCTGGATTGAGGAGTGTTTCCTTATCTGGGTTCGGTGGCACACACCTGTCATCCCAGCAGCTGGTGGGGCTGAGGCAGGAGGATCACAAGTTCAAAGCCAGCCTCAGCAAAAATGAGGCACTAAGCAATTCATCGAGACCCTGTCTCTAAATAGTACGAAATAGGGCTGGGGGTGGGGCTCAGTTCAAGTGCCCCCGAGTTCAATCCCTGGTTATCCCCCACCCTGCAAAAAAAAAGTGTTTTTCTGCTCTCAAAAGCTGGTGATTCCTAAAGTGACAGATGCTAGATAGAGAGGAACTTAATGATCAGGAAAAGGAAGAATGATTCTGAACCCGGCATACAGGTGCCCGCTCATGAATGAAGAAGAAAGCACTGTGGGACCTGCCTCCGGAGGCTCCTGAGCGAATCATTTTCCCGTTTCTCTCAGTACCAAATGGGGATACGAGTCTTAGGTTGTCAGGACAACCTGGAAGCTGATGAATGAGTCCCCTGGAAGCATTAACAAATAATAATAATGTTAAATAGACGAGAGACTGGAAGACCCTAGAGTCATCTCAGTAGGCAATATCTCTAATTGATGAAGCTTGAAAAATATTAAAATCCAGCCTACACTGATAAATCTTGATTCTCTCTGCTTTGCCTGCTGCAAAAGAGAGGCAGGAAAGCTGCTGAATGATTGACCAAGATACATAAGGAAGGCATTTTTTTTTTTTTAACTTTTGATATCAGGGATCGAACCCAGGGGAACTTAACCTCCAAGCTACATCCCCAGCCTTATTTTATACTTTATTTAGAGACAGGGTCTCACTGAGTTAGGGTCTCGCTAAGTTGCTGAGGCTGGCTTTGAACTATTGATCCTCCTGCCTCAGCCTCCTGAGCTGCTGCACATGGCAGGAATGCAATTTGTACCCACTCTTGGGAGTTGGGGCTTTTGTGGATGCTAAGCATGCACTCTACTGAGCTACACCCCCAACCCTAGATGTCTTTTTAAATTAAAATTTTTATTTTGAGAAAATTATATACTCACATGTTAGTGTAAGAAATAATACAAAGAGCACCTGTAATTCCAGCGACTTGAGAGACTAAGGCAGGAGGATTGCAAGTTCAAGGCCAGCCTGGGAAACTTATCCAGACCTGTATCAAAATAAA